TGTGGGCACAAAACTGTGTTCCACTGCATCCTGTAATACAAGAACTCAGTGCACTGAGAAACACAGTAGTTAAAAACACATTAAAAAATGTAGTTCTGTAGAACAGCAAGTGGGGAACTCCTGGAACTTGCTTTCCTAGGAGGCTGCAGGGCAGGCAGCCTAATGAAGTTCAAAAAGTGATTAGACAAGTTTATGAACAACAGATTCATAGTGGATACTAAAAGGGATTGGCAACAGCATAAACACTAATGCCCTTATCTGAGCAGCTGTGGGTGATGGGGACATATTGAGGGACGAGCTAAAGACATCAACTTGTGTGCTCACCTTAAGCTGCATCTTTCCAGCAGCCACTACTGAAGGCAGGGCCCTGCAGACATTTCTGAGCACCTTTTGCTCTCGCATCAGTGGCCTCACCTGCAGCTAAGGAGGGAGCCTGCACAGACAAAGCTCTGGCAACATACAGGGCATAGATAAAGAAAAAGAAAAGTTGACCTGTCTCAGCAACAGAATTAAGTCTAAGCTAAGAAATTATGACGCATTCCCTGCTGTGAGGCAGAACTACATCTTTCCCTCTACTAGAGAGTTACAAAATGCAAATGCAGGGATTCACCAGTGAGGGCAACCAGCTGCCTGGCATAAGGGGTCAGACTGTGGAACACACCTGGTGCAGCTTGGCACTGAGATATGGGACTAACTGGGAACCAAAGAGGAGCAGAGGAGGTGGAAACCTGGGTGCAAGCCATATAATAGTGAGACTTGACAGACCATAAGTTCAGGGAAGAGGTGTGTAGTTTAGGATTGATGTAGTTTAGGATCAATGTTTGAAATCTAAGCTTAAGGTGACATGGTGTAGGGATTCTACTGGAAAGAGAAAAATAAGGAAGAAGTCAGGAAAACCCCACCACCTACAGACATTCCTATTTCTTTGATTTTGCTTTTGGACTGATCTTTTCTCAGTCCCTGCCTACACAAATGTGCTATGAACTTGACAGACTGTCAGCCAAGTATTGTAAAGCAAGCTATGCTGCCACTGATAGAGCCATCACTGTGCTAAGTCCTTGATAAGGTGGATGTGAGGAAGCTTCCCAAGTGACAAGCATTTGATTCCACCCACTGCTTCTAGAAAACTGAGCAAATTCAGTCAAGAGCTGGGAGGCTGTTCAGTTAATATTTTCATACCATCAAACATCTTGTATGTTAATAGCTTAATTAAGCATGCATCTGCACACACGTGGCTCTCCTTGTACATATGCTTTTTCCTTAGGTACTGCCAGAGATGTTCCAGAGGAAATCAAAGCCCTGAGGGGACTACATTTCTTTTCATATTCTCAGAATACAGAGAGCACATTTCAAGAAAAGCTCCGAAGAGGAAATCAAAGCCCTGGGGGGACTACATTTCTTTTCATATTCTCAGAATACAGAGAGCACATTTCAAGAAAAGCTCAACCTTCCTGGCTCCTCTCCTGCTTGCTTGACGTGGCCTCTCCTTGTAAGGGTAAGTCTGCAATCTTTCTCTAACAGTGTGGATTACTTTTCTAGTTAATGCCCACTATCAGATAAGTTCGTGTTTCTCCACATGCCAGGGAAGGTCACAGGAGATTTGTGATTTCTGGTCATACAAGTCTCCTCCCACTATCAGATAAGTTAGTGTTTCTCCAACATGCCAGGGAACATCACAGGAGATTTGTGATTTCTGGTCATACAAGTCTCCTTTGCCACCTTCTTAAGAAAGCCAGCTATGCCTTGATGAACAGACATCTATTGCAGCGTTCACAAATCTCCTCAAATCTGTCTGATGGCAGAGATGTACAAAACTACAGTTTAGGGAAATTTAATTTTTGCTTTCAGAGACACTCTTGCAGCTAAACTGTAGTATGACAGGGAGAACCAATAAGGCTGTTCCAGACAGCAGGAGGTGGAGATGAGTAAACTCCTCTGCCAACTGCCAGATTGCATGTCTGACACATTGCAGATGTAAATCCAAGAAACTCAAGGGGGATACCACGCTCAGTCACACCCGCTGAGGAAGTGCCTGTGTCTTTAGGGCAGGAGGGCTCAGCAAAAGAAGAAAGAGAAATTCCTTGATATAAACTGGAACAATTTTAAGCAAGCCAGGAGCCTCCCTGGGCTTCTCTCTGAGGCAGCCCAGAATCCCTTGCTTGTCCCATTTGCCTCATGTCACAGCTGTGAAAGCCAAAATTGCTATGTAACAACATACTTCTTTGCACTATGAAGCAAAAGGAAAGGGAAAAGTTTTTATTGCTTCTCTGTGAAACATGACAGTATTTAGGTCCTGAAGACAAGGATTTGGTGTGCTGTTATATCCTAATTATGTGTTCCATGTCCTTGTGCGGAAAAAAAAATTCCATGTCCTTGTGTGGGAAAAAAAAAAAAAAAGAAAAGAAAAAAATAGCAAAGCCCAGAATGAGAGTAAGCTCAGCAATGGATTTGATTTCTTGGAGGAACAGAAATTTTAATACTTATGTCAAGATTAGATGTACCTCTGGGAGATGCACTTCCATCAGGCATTCACCACTGGGCTCAGTCCAGAGGCAATACTGCGTGGAGACATTCAGCAAATTGGGTTAGGTCAGGTAACATTTCCTGCTGGCCTACAGATGCAGTATCGTCATTAATGCACAGGCATTGCATATTGAATTCTGCAGTCAGATCTGAAGTGTTGCACATTAACAGCAATTACACATTAGGATACCCTGACAACACAGAAGAAACACAGGGCTTCAGGCATCCAGAAGTCTAGGTCAAACAAAGAAACAAAACCCAACAGTTTTGATCTTTGTTCTGTTGCTCTGGCCCCAAATCTGGCAAAAACAACACAGGTGAGAACCTTCTGCAGCAGGTCCAGCAAAATACTCTGAGGTCACTCACACTTGTAGCTCATCTTCAAGTTTAGGAGTGGAAATTCCTTAAGTCCTAGAACTCTTCAGGACACCTTTAGTGTTCAGCACTACTTGTTCTCTAAGTTCCTCTGTAATACAACAGCATTTCACTACAAAATTAATATCAACTAATAGAGCTTGGGGAAAATAATGCTTTTCTACAAATATTCAGTTAAGAACAAATTACCCTTATCTTGTCATTTCAAGAACTGAAATGTTATTTTTGAGCATGTTTCACATCTTGCCATATCCTTAGACTACTGAGAAAGCGCAGGATGAAAAACCAGAAAATTTGAAAGTGCAATTAAATAGCATACTAAAGGAAGAAAAAAAAGGGGAAAAATGATGGCCATCTACCACATGCACAGCACTGGACTGCATTTTTTTTTTTTTTTTTTTTTTAAATTCTCATCTAGTCCTACAGTAAAGACTAAATGAGCTGTGCAATTCTTGTGTGGTCAGCTGTCAGGACCACAGTGGCACTGCACCAGCTGCGAGAGCACAAGCCAGACTGCTGGACACCAGCCCCACATCCCTTCCCTGAGGAATCAGCCACAGTTTTGCTCCTGGACAAGCAGAGGATGAGCTGCCTGTCAGGAGCCCTTTTAGCCAGTCAGCCTGTTGTTTGACAGCTTCAGCCCTGAAAATGCACAGAAATGCACAGTTTACACACTGTCAATTTACACAAGATTATCTTTTTTTTTTTTTCCCCCAAAAAAAGTTTTAGTTCTCAGGAAGTGCCCCCAGCTTTAGAGAGGTCCCACATACAAGAGGCATCTCAAAACCTACTCATAGTGTACATTCCTGCAGACACATGACCAAGTGCCTCACAGATATGTGCAAAAATAAACACATGCAGACCTGCTCTAATATTGTGGCATTCATTCTTGAAACAACATTTTGGAAATAACCTCTGTGGGGTTTTATCTTTAAGCCGTGTGTTGTGGGATACAGAAGCCAGCAACACTGAAAGTGCTTGTAAGACATCAATTCCACTTCTTTTTGAGCAGTTATGCCCACAATTTGTTTTCCTTTTGTGCTCTACCCTGAGTGCTGATATTAACATTTCATTCTTTAAAATAAGATTAACTATACAAGCAATTCTTGGCTGGTAAATCTGATGATAATAAAAGACATAATTCACAGCTTTTAAAAATAAACTAACTGTAAGGCATAACTGGATCCATAAAAATTCAGCATTAGAATAACTGGAACCAGGAGGGTTTTGATACATCTCATTAGGCAATATGGTTTTAAGACAATAGGAACTCCTACTGCAAACTCCCCTTCAGGTTTCCATGGTCTTTCTTCTAAATAACAAGCAAATTTAAGAGTTGCTAGTAATCAAATAATCACCAGGACAATACAGACATTACAAGTAACAGAGGAGACTTTAAAGTCATTCAGAAGTCTGCCCTTAATGTCATTCACATCTCCAAATGAACAAACATAAAATCCTGACATCAAGACAGAGTTGACTGGAATCCAGACATCCTGAGTAGCCATTAGAAATTTGGTGCTGCAGAGAAACACACACTGATGAGACCCTCTGCTTCCTTTTTTCTGTTACATTAAGACCAGGGAAAAAATGTATTCCCTCTATTGCAAGGGGAATGTTAGTTTTGCCCCAGGAGCTGTACTACCAAGCACTTTGAACATCATATTCAGGGCTGTGAGACTCAGAAGAGGTTACATCCTTGCCCTACATAACATTATGATTCTGCAGCAATCTGGATGCTTTTTATCTTTAATATACAGGTAAAACCTGTAAAAGAATAAACACATCTATTTGCCATCAGCTAAATACACTTTTCGTGGTTTCTAGGTAGCACTTCCAATTGTAAAAGTTTTCAGAGTCTGGGCAGACTCAGAGTGAAAACTCTCCTGTGGAGTTCAGACCCTCTTGCACCAGAGTACAGACATGGCACAGTAGAATCCAAAATGATAAAATGCTTTTCATTCTATTCCATATGGCTACTATTAATTTGGAGGGTTTTATTGGTTTGAGTTTTTTTTTTCCTCCTTAACTGCAGCATGGCCTCTACCTGCTCTACAACCAATAGGAATTAGGAAGGAAAGATTTGGGATGGTGGCACTTACTGGGGGTGTTGAGGAGCCGTGACTTCTTGCAGTGGTAGGCTGCCTCCTGCTCGCAGTACTCAGCACTGCTGATCACAGCCTCCAGCTGCTCTGCACTGCTGCTGTAGTTGAAGGACATGGTGTAGGGCTTCTCTGGACCAGCTCCTTGCACTCTGGTCAGCCCTGTGCTGTTGTGCTGCACTTCAGTCCAGATCTTATCTTCTGTTAAATGAAAAACGATGGAACAGGAGGTTAGCAGCAAAACACTTCCAACAAGCAGGGAACAAAAAACCAACTGAAATGTAATGTTTTACTGCAGTGGACAGACCATCAGCAGGGCCCCGGGCTCCAAAATGGGCACTTTGTGATGAACACCAACAGGTTTGTATTCATTAAAGATCAGCGGGGCCCACAAAGATATTTCTCCTTGAGCCAGCTCAAGCAAACACTACACTGCCTGCTGAGCAAGACAGAAACTACAAACTTCCTGGGAAGCACAGGAGACCTTCAGCTTCTTCTATTACCAGATATCAGTATAAAATTAGATACCTTTCAACTGGCTTTGTCCCTGAGAGAAAACACATATTAATATGGCTCATAGGGGTAACATCCACCTTTTGCCTCAGAGCACAGCCCATGCTGTTGTAACAACAAATGGAAGCAGAGAACTACAGCTGATGAGCTTGCACAAACTCACCATGAGCAGAAAGCACAATCTCTTGCCAGAAAGTTAAACTGAGAGCATGTTCTTACCACCAGCTGGAAGTCAGATCACTCATTTCACTCAATTCTCAGATTTTTTTGCATATAAGTTGAGAGATGCCCTACTTGGATGATGGTACAGAACGCCATATGACTTGGCATCTGTAGTTAACTCTAAATATTGATGCTTTCCCATGCTGGGGAGCCCATTCTCCTTGCCTTCATTGCATTTACTGGCAGAGCAAGGCATTGTGTAGTTGACAGAAAGGAGAATCTAGGCTTAAGCACAATCTTCACCCTACAACCCAGCTCATGATCAGCATTGGGGTTGGCATAATGAGAACACCACATTTAGAAGGAATTTGTTTCCAGGGAGGCTTTTTCCCAGCTGGTTCTGGTATAGCAATGGGTAAGGTAGAAAGGACAACCTGAACAGTCAATTTGCTGAGCTGACACAGAGTTACAGAAAAAATCTTCAAAGAGGATTCATAGGACTGAGCCCTGCACATGCCCAACACTATTAGTAAAAGTCACAACCAGCATATTTCCTCTTTATCAAAGACCCTGCTTGCCTAGAGAGAATACAAGATACTGACAGGGCAAAAATTTAAGGCAGCAATTTTCAATCATTTGATGAGAAGGAGATTTCAATCTCACTTGCAGAAACACGCAGACATTTACAGAGGAAGAAGTAAGATCTAGGCAATAGATTTCTATTTTGTTATTTATGCTTCATCAGGGAAACTCTAGATAACAATGAATCATATCTTTTCTAAGCTGATCTTAAAAACTGTGCATTTAAGGATTCAGATGGTTTTACCACATTGCCTGGCCTGAGTTTTTGCAGAGCCTGAGCTTCCCAGTAACTCCCCAATACACTGGCATGATGAGCCCAATAGCTCTGTGGTCACTACAATGCATGGCAGTCAAAGTATTTTTCATGGAGCTACATATATGCTCCAGATTACTTAAACAGAGTGTTAATAGGTGTACAAAAATCTAAATGGACTGTCTGTGCAAAGACATGGATGATTTGATGGATTGTCATTAGGGAGGCATTCAAATGACAGGCAAGTAACAACAACCACCTGGGCCTATCTAAAGAGGTCTGTTCCAAGACCTGGCTGTAAGTGACAGAGAAATTAACTTGCATTAACTCTAAAGACAGCTTACACACAGCAAACCACACACTCACTCACAACCCTCTCATCATTTCTGTGATGAGAGACAAAAAAATTTGCTCATAGGTCTGCAATTCTGTAGTTCTTACTGACTTCAGGGAGCTGCTTGTGGATCCTTGGAGTTGGAGCTCAAAGAAACATTGCTGCAATGTGTGATACAGGAAAGTCAGATTAAAATGATAAGAAATACTGCAAATATATGGCTTGTAATACTTGTCCCAGTGGTTGTAATCACAGTGAACACTGTAGCACAATACCCTGCACAGTCCTGCACATATATTGCTTCAAACACAATATACTTCAATGGCTTCATAACAGACATCGTGTACATCTTAAAGCAGCACTCCTTATCAGCCAGTCCCTCTGTTTTCTTTTGCTCTCTCAAGGCAATATTGACAAGAACAGAGTGGATTTTTCAAAAGCAGCTGAGGGTGAGTTAACTTTCCTCTCACAAAAGCTGACAGAAGTTTAACTTCTGCCTTAACTGAAATAACTATTAAAAAGACAAACACCGAGTTGCTGATAATGTGAGACAAAAAAACAGGAGATGATGGAATATACTGGTTGCTGAAATTCCAGGTGGGCTGTGAAAAACACCTCCCCACTGAGAGTTCTGAACATAATTTTAAGAAAATGCAATAAAATCAATGCTCAAAATAGTGGCTACAGTGCTGCTCAGGAAGTAGAGCAGCCTAATGCTGTAGTTGTACAGTGGTTAACACTGCTGTACTTTCCAGGCTGTATATCAAGAAAGGTGCCATGTGGGTACCTGAGAAGTTAAAATCATCAAGAGCTAGCAATTTAGAAGCAAAGAAGTAATACTAGAAAAAGCTGATTAAAAATAGCATAGCACAAAACTGTCTTCCCAAAAAAGGTGTTGGAAATATAATTAATTGACATGTTTGAAATGAGGTTGGACAAGGTATCAGCAAATATACTGTAAGCAGCCAGCACTCATTAACAGGAGTGCTGGACAGGCAATGTGACAGGTCTTCCTCTTATCTTCCTCTATGATTGTTCATTAATTTTCAGCAGTCTTGTTATCATTGCAGCTGCACACAGCTGTCCCGAGATCTGAACTTTGACATTCTAGCCCTGCTTTTCTCCACAGGACCATTTAGAAATAAGTTGACCTATTTTCCATCCTCTAGTTTACAAAGGGAAAGGAAAAACAAATCAAGTTTCTTTCTGTATTCAAAGTAATTGCAATTTAGCAAGTACATCAGAATGGAATTAAAAAAGTTACACAGAAGAGAAGAATTTTGAAGTTACATTTCAGAGATTTCCTAATCTACACATGCCCAGTTTTTTAGGCTTAATACTTCTACAGATCAGATCTATGCTACAGTGGTCACTTCAAAGTTTCCCTCTGTGCTTCACCTTTGAAGTAAAGGTGCCCATCAGTTCAGCTTCTCAAAAGAGATCTGTGTTTTTCTCATTGATCTAGTAACAGGGAAGTCACAGCCACCAGCAAGCAAACCTCAGAACAGAAGGGCAGCTCAACACAACACAGAGCTGGTGGCAACAAGGTGAGAGGAAGAAAACGAAAAGGAAATCTATTCCACTATCTCTGTTACACTTCTTCCCACTTCCCATGGAAAGAGTAAGTACTTCCATTTTAGAAAGCAGCACGTGAGGTGTAGAGGGGCAAAGAAATGCAAAGTCAAACACAATCTGCTACAAGAATAAAGGATTATATTCACATCACAGTAAAAAAACCTCAAAAAACAAACTTCCTTCTTTCAAAAGGACACAGTTTTGTTTAAATGCAGCAAGTGAGACTGAAAATTATTTAAACTTTAGATTGCTTTGGACAGAGTAGAAGAGCCAACAGTTCTCCCTCCTGCATCTCCACTGGTTGAGAGAGAAGTTACTAAGAGCTAGAGGGCAGTAAATTCTTGAACCACTCCAAGACAATAGCAAGATCATTGCATCTGCTTCCATAGATCAGAAAACCACTAAAAAATAATCTCAACATTTCTTCTGAAGACCATCACCTTTCAGATCAGCCCTTGAGGTTTATTCAAATCCCAGTTTCTCCACCTCAAACTTGGCAATAATCAGAAAAAGATAATTCTATTTTCTCAAATTCACTTGCACAAGTTTAGCTAGAGCTGCTCCCAAAATATCACTGCCTGCCTCAGTATGAGGTCAAGGCATCCTACCCTCCCTACTTGACTGGCAGGTCCTCTGAAGCCTCCTGACAATGATCTGTGATCTGGCACTTCAGGCAGGTTCAGGACCTGTGTGAGACAGGGAGCAGCCATCGGAAGGTGCCCACAGATCACTCCAGCAAACAGTGAACAGCTGTCTGCACCTGAGCTCTGGGTTAGGCATTTGCTTTTAGAGGGACACCTCTACACCAGTAACACCCACAGCTTTCAAAAATGGGGCTTCAAAAACTTGTTCCTGTTTCATAATGCAAGGATTTTTATTTAGTCTTTGCTCTACTGTGTTTACATTATATTTTTATGCAATGATACTGCAATCACAGGTGCAAACCAAGCCGAGCACCACTACCTCCTTCTAGTCGTTTCCATACCTGGAAACTGTTAAACTACACAGAAAAAGCTCTCTTCTCATGTATTTATACTAAGCAGTTATCATTATGTTTTTACATCTGTCCATACTACACATTTTTTTCCTGTTTACTCCATTTAATGAGCTCTCCTTGTACTCAACGGTACTGCAATGGGAATTAAAAAGCTGTTGTCCAGGCAGAGGTTACTGTTAATTTTTATCTTCTATTACTCCATTCTACTCTTTATTACTTTCTCAGCTTGCTAAAATTTCAAACTAAACATAAGCTGGAAGTCATTCAAAACCAAGTAGGAGACTGCAGCCACATCTTCTATTGTATAATGTGGAATAGTTTAATGCAGCCCTGAAAAGCAGATTTCCTAAATGCTTGTTAAATTATTTCCATAATTCAAAGGTGACAATGCTTTAATTTCAGGCTAATGCTACAGCTTTATGACTTCACAGTTTTATTTAATGGTCCAATTCACTAGGATATTATGCTGTCTGCATTTGGCCCTAGGAGATGTTTTTACAGCATGGGACCGCAATGAATTAAGCACATTTCAGACTCTCTGTTTAGTCTAGCCCATAGTTCTATCATCTTGCTGGAAACCTCCAAGTTGCTTTTGACGGCACACAAATTAAATTGTGGGAAATTAGAGCAGCTGGAAAACTGGCTTTCAATGAATTCTGTATTGTCTAATTCTCATTTTTATTCTTCAACTTGAAATATCCCTGTGGAGCATATTCCACCCATACAAACTGCATCATTCCTTTGTGATTTAGGAGGTTTGTCACAAAACAAGATTATTCAGACTG